GAATGAATGAATGAATGCATGAATGAATGAATGAATGCATGAATGAATGAATGAATGAATGAATAGGTATAGAGTAGCATGGGTGGCGTTCGCGGCCAACGCGTCGTCTTTTCCCGCGTGCGTCCAACGGGTCGCTGGTTCGAGCCCTGCGGTAGCCAAAAGTGAATTGAGTTTGCTTGATGTGTTGTTCTCTCCCTTGCCACGAGGGTTTTCTCCGGGTTCTCTGGTTTCCTCCCTCCGTTAAAAACATGTGAGTTGAGAGTTGTGTGTATAGAATATTCTAATGTAGTAAGGATTGCGTATGGAGGATACACAGCCCCACAAGCTCTTAGCTTTAACGTGTATAAATAAAAAAAGATTTATTTTTTTATTTTAATGAATGAAGAAATGAAGAAAAAACTACAGATCGCATCATTCTTATCTTCTGTTTCTGTCTTTTGATTGTTAAATTGTGGTGTTTTGATTTTCAGAATATGCAGAAAACCTGAAGTCATCCATTAAACAAGAAACCGATTTTCTGCTGTCAGAAGAAGAGGACAATACAATTAGAACCGATGACATCTTTACGAATGTGACTATCCAACGCGGTCCAAAACACTTCAAGGAACCCAAAGAAAGGAGATTTGGCAGCAGGGAATTGGATGAAATTCAAGCGGGTAGTACGAAACTCACGAACTGTTGTCATAAGCTGATACGGGATTGGCCGCATAACCGATTGTTTGAGGAAGGTCAAGAAAATGTCAAAGTACCTGATTTTCATCCTGCGTCTTCAGTACAGACATCTGTCGGCATGCGGTTGGATGAAAATCAAGCAAGTAGTACCCCACCTCTTCCCCTAGTTCATCCAATCCAAGAAACGAATGTATATCTTCCTTTTGTTGAGCAACCAGATTGTTTGTATCGTCAAGGTCTGGAAATACCAGAACCAGTAAAGTCAGAAGACCAAATGAAACGTAAGTCTGATTATTCTTCTATACATCTGCGTAGTCCGCAACTTTTGTTGATTAACTCTAGAGACCCTTCCACTCAACAACAACTTTATACGTACCATCCTTTAGAATTGTATTTATTTCATATTATTTCAAATATTTTTATTATTTCATTGGCGGACATGTTTTTATTTTTCGATGATCAATTGCATTGGCGTCATTTCTACGCCACTATTTTAGATCAGCTGGTTGCAGGTCCTTTCCCTAACTCATCCGATACACTTTCTTTAAATGGGGCATAGACCTAGGCGATATAAGACGAAATACAGTGCATGTAGGGGAATCTAAGATGATCTAAGGCAATCCGTAAACAAAATAATCCGACAGGTAAAAAATGAGGGATACTAAGAGTCAGCATGCATAGTTGAGATAATTGATGCAAAAAGGCACAAGAATTTAGAAAATCTGTAGTTCCCAGAAGGCTTTCAGCCACAAGGTTTAAAGTTGGTGATAACTACTTTATCCATGGGGCTATAGTTTTATTTTTTCATATATTTCCATGAATACCATTGCCGCGTCAGCATCAAGCCGATTCTGCCCGACAAATTAAAGGGTCATATCGGTTAGCAAACTATGGTACCATTTTTAAGGGTCAATTTAACTCATATCTTTAGGGGCTTTTTTCGCCTCTTTCTTTTTACCTAAATAGATCCCAAAAATGGGCTAAAATGACTTAAGGTGGTTCCCTA